AAATGGAAGCTCAGTTCCCATGTCAGTACTCATTCCCTGCTGAAAGACTTCCTAACAAAACTCCCCTTTCATATTTTAACCCAGCCTGAGTCCCCATTGTCACCTCCTTCTGCTCAATGCCACATTGTTATTGCCAGAGGGCTTGAAAGCACAGCTGCCATAGATAGCAGAGCATGGATGGGATGGATTAATTTATCTTAGAACATCTTTCGCTTGAAGGCCACGCAAGTCTCTTTACAATTCGCTTGATTAACTTTGTCTTTAATTACTAAATTTTTTAAATTGGGTTTAAGAAGATGAGTGCCTATAAAAGCAAGTAAGCATTCATTTCTCTTTCTTCCAGCTCCCACTAGGTAAATACGTTGAACTGCGTGAAAAAGATTACCCTGGATTTGGAGGGACCTATGTCTCTACAGATTGTTACCAATCCAGGACTTGTAGGGTTTCTGTGGCAAGTAACGAGTCAATGTAGAGAGCTGGCATGTGCAGTAGGCTCCCCATAAATAGTGGTCCCATTTTCCTGGCATTGCCAGGTTTAGCAGAATAAATTTAAAAACTACAGCCAGATGATAGTTATTCAAGCCATAATCCTAGCTACTCAGGAGGCAGAAATCAGGAGGATCATGGTTCAAAGCCATTTTTTGAGATAGCGAGACCTATTTCAAAAAATCCACCACAAAAAAAGGGCTGGTGGAGTGGCTTAAGGTGTAGACCCTAAGTTCAAACTCCAGGACTGCAAAAATAAATAAATAATTAAATAGAATAACAAAAGAATAAAAACTATACTCTGTCCAGACAACTTTTCACTTTGGATGAACAATGAAAAAAATTTTAGTGTAAGTATGCCCCTCTCAAAATTTCCAGCTCCCATTCTCTCTCTCCCTCCCTCTCACCCCACCCCTGTGGTCCTGGGAATAAATCTAGGTTCTGTGTACAAGTGCTCTCCACTGGAGCATGAGCCTAGCCCTTTTCTTTGTATTTTGTTTTTGAAATAGGGTGGCACTAACATTGCTTGGACTGGCCTTGAACTCATGATCCTCCTGCCCCTGACTCTCAAGCAGCTGGGATTACAGCAATGTACCACTACACCTGCCTCTGGTCTCCTTTTCTTAGAATTGAATTTTGCTCTTTATTTCTGTCTAACAAATTTGGTTAACAGAATTGTGTAGACCAAAATATGCACAGAGCTCAAAAACTAAATTCCCCAAAAATCAATGCCTCAATGAAGAAATGGGCAAATGAACTGAACAAAGCTTTTTCAAGGAAAGAAGTCCAAAAGGCCAAAAAAACACATGAAGGAATGCTCAATATCCCTGGCCATAACAGAAATGCAAATCAAAACCACATTAAGATTTACCTCACTCCTGTTAGAATGGCTATCATCAAAAACACAAACAGCAACAAATGTTGTCGAGGACGTGGGGAAAAGGAACCCACATCCACTGCTGGTGGGAGTGTAAATTAATACAACCACTATGGAAAGCCGTATGGAGGCTCCTCAAAACACTAAACATAGATCTACCATATGATCCAGCAATTCCACTCCTAGGGATATTCCTGAAGGAATGTGAGTCAGGTTACAACAAAGGCACCTGCACACCCACATTTGCTGCAGCATTGTTCACAATAGCTAAGCTATGGAGACAGCCAAGATTCCCCACTGCTGATGAATGGATTAAGAAAGTGTGGTATTTATACAAAATGGAGTTTTTATTCAGCCATGAAGAAGAATGAAATTTTGGCATTTGCAGGTAAATGGATGGAACAGAAGAACATCATCTTAAGTAAAGTTAGCCAGGCTCAGAAGGGCTGCATGTTCTCCCTCATATGTGGATTTTAGACCCAATACAAATACAGCTATATTATGAAAAACAGGTCACACTAAGGGGAGGTCACCTATAAGAGAGGGAGGGTAAAAGAAGGACATTAAGAAGATGAATATGGTTGATGTATTTCCTACATAAGAATTAATATAGAATTTTTAATCCTGTTGAAATCACCATAAGAAGGAGACTAAGGTAGAAAGGAGAAAAACAGAGGAAATGAACCAATTTGGGTTATAATACATATATACATGGAAATGTCACAAGGAAACTCCCTGCATATCTATCTTTAAACAAACAATTTTTTTTTTTTTTTTTACAAAAATGGAGAACAAGAAGGCAAAACAGGTCCCTTCTGGAGGGTTTGGTACCAGCAGGAAGTGGGGAGACATAGGAAAGGGTGTAGGAGGGTGAATATGGTGGAGATATTATGTTCTTATGCATGAAAATGGAAAGTGAGACCTGTTGAAACTATTCCAGGAATGGGGGGAGGGGGTAAATTTAACTATGATATATTATAAGAACCTTTGTAAATGTCACAGTGTACCCCCAGTGCAGCAATTAAAAAATAAATATATAAATTTTAAAAAGAATTGTTTAGGAGTGTTTAGGGAAAGTTTCCTATTTTCACACATTGTAAGAATTTCCTCTAGGAGTAAATGGTATTCAATGCATGCTTATTAACTGAATGAATGAATGACCAAATGCCCAGACAAAACAGATAGTTCTAATTTGCATGAGTTGAGAAATGGGTAGGTAGTGTGATTTCAGCAAACATGATCAGTTTCTGTTAGGTGATTCTAGAAAAGAAAGACCCAATAAAGAGGGATGTAGCAGGCTGATAATGACACTCCCCACCCTGGTGACTTAATTTCAGGACCTGTGAATATGTGACTTCTGATGGCAGAAGGGACTTTGTTGATGTGGTTAGGTAAGGATCTTCAGAGGTGCAGACTATCCTGAATTATCCAGGTGGTCCTAATGTAAGGTCCTTCCAGGAGGAAGGAAGGAGGCTCAGCCAGAGAGGTCTAGCTGACAAAGGAAATGCAGAAAGAGACATTGCAAGATGCAGTGCTGCTGACCTTGACCGTAAAAGAGACGGCCAAGAGTCTAGAAGCTGGAAAAGGCCAGGAAATGGCTTCTTCTCTTGGAATTCCAGAGAAATGTTGACTCTGAGGGTCCACTTTGGAGTTCTAAAACCCTAAGACAACAATTTGTTATAGCCACAATCAGAAAATAATACAAAGGAGAAGGTAAGTAATAAACAAAGAAAAAGAAGATTGCTGGGCACTGGGGGCTCACACCAGGGGGATCATGGTTCAAAGCCAGCTCCTGGCAAATAGTTCACTAGACCCTATGTGGAAAATACCCAACACAAAACAGGGCTGGTGGAGTGGCTCAAGTGGTAGAGTGCCTGCAACCACTTTGTTCAAACCCCAGTACTGTCGAAAAACAAAACAAAACAAAAAAACCACCAAAAACCAAAAAGAAGTTTACCTAGCTGAGAAAAGGCTGCCTGCCGCAGAGAAAAGTCTAGAAATTGCTGAACAGGCCCGTAGATAGGTCAAAGAACACAGACGCTGGCAGATTCCCAAGAACCCAAGAGAAAGAGGACATTGTTAGTTAAAATACTGCAGACAAAGGGCTTAAGCAGTAGAAATTAATTTTCTCATTGTACTGAAGGTTAGAAGTTCAAGATCAAGGTTGGTTTCATTCTGAGGCTCTTTCCTTGGCTTGAGAGTGCCGCCTTCTCACTGTCACCTCACACATGGTCTCTCATCTGCATAAAGAGGTATCATTGACAAAACTTCCTCTTCTTATAAGGACACTAAACAGATTGTATCATTATGTCAGCCCACCCTAACAACCTCATTTTTACTTAATCACCCCATCTCCAAATGCAGACACACTCTGAAGTACTGGAAGTTAGGGCCTCAACATAAGAATTTGTGTGTGTGGGAACAATTCAGCCCACAATAATGGGGTTCATAAATTGAGAAAGTCTGCAAAAAAGCTGGTCTGCGACCCAGATTGGAGATGTAAGCAATACAACAATGCAATGTAATGCAAAGCCATTCAGGATTAGATATCAGACAGGAGAAAGGGACTTTCTGGCAGTCATTTGAATAAGATTGGTTTGTAGATTGGGTAATTGTATTACATAATAGCTAATTTCCTTGTTTTGTACTATGGTTATGCACGATGCCAACATTTGGGGAAGCTTATATGAAGAGTAAACGGGAGCTCTTTGTACATTTTTGGAACTGTTGTTTTTCTATCTGGAATTATTTCAAAATTAAAAGTTAAAAATAAAAAATACAATATGGTGAACACAGAAAAGGAGAGAAAAGGAGGTTGGATGTCACTAGAAAGGTGGGGGGAGGGGAAGGCAGGAAAAGTAGCAAATGAGTTCCATAAAGTCAGAGATCCCGCCTGCTTTCCAAGTGCCCTCTGACCTCTCCTTCTGGGACTTGACAGTGCCCAGAAGCTGGGCACATGGTTTGGGAGGCAGTGGTCATTGAGCCATAAGCTGAAGGAGAGAAGGCCGTAGGCACATTGATTCTCATCTGATTCATGGCAGTCCTCAACTTTTGACTTTTGACATTCTCCAATGAAGTATTACAATCAGACAGTGTATGTTGAAATTGTGGCTTTTTTTTTTTTTTTCCCGGTACTGAGGTTTGAACTCGGGGCTAGGCGGGCGCTCTGCCACTCTGCCAGTCTGAAAGCATGACTTCTTTACGTGCAAACATTTAAAATACATGTCAAAGGGGGATGAATTTGATCAAAGTAAATTCTATGCGCATATGGAAATATCACAATGAAACCCCTTTGTCCAATTAACATATCCTAGCTACGAAACGTTTCCAAAAAAAAAAAAAAGAACCGCCACTCGCCACTTCTTGTTCAGGAATCGCCCAGTTCTTAACGAGGCTGGATCGCCCCTACTCTGTACCCGCACCCTACAAATGCTCTGCCCCCACGACGGCGAGCGGCCACGGGATTGGACGAGCGGGCTGGGTGTGCGCGGGACGTCCAATCGCTCGCGAGCGTGGAGGAGGCAGCTGCAGCTGCAGCTGGAGGCGGCGGCGGCCCGATCGCTGCAGGACCCGGCTGGGCGGTGCGGACGCCTCGTGGCGCGGGCGCCTCGTGGCGCGGGCGCCCCGTGGCGTGGGCATGGCGGGCTGGTGGCGGGCGCTTCCACGCGCGGCCCGGCGCTACCCGTGGCCCACCAACGTGCTGCTGTACGCCGGGCTCTTCTCGGCCGGCGATGCGCTGCAGCAGCAGCTGCGGAGCGGCCCGGCCGACTGGCGCCAGACGCGGCGCGTGGCCACCCTGGCCGTGATCTTCCACGGCAACTTCAACTACGTGTGGCTGCGCCTGCTGGAGCGCGCGCTGCCGGGACGCGCACCGCGCACCGTCCTGGCCAAGGTGCTGTGCGACCAGACGGTCGGAGGGCCCATCGTGCTCTCAGCCTTCTATGCTGGTGAGGGGCCTGGGCGGGGTTCTGGGGTCCGGAGTCCCAGGATTGGGGGACTGGAGGCCCGCGGCGGGCGGGAGGCTTAAGGGGCTGGAGAGCTCGGGGCGGGGGGCAGAGGCAGGAGCCAGAAGCTCTGGGGGTCTGGGGACTAAGGCTGGGCCCTGGGGCTGGGATGTCTGGGAACTGGAGATGGAGGTTTCTGAAAGGGAGAACTGGCGGGCACTGGCTGGGGAGCATCGAGGTCCAGTGGGCTAGGGGGCCAGGGGGCTGGGGTAGGAACTGGGAGGCTGGAGTTGAGCAGAGTCCAAGGCTGTGGCCTAGGTAGGGCTGGGGCTCCATTTCTCCTCTGAAGAGGGAACACGGGAATATTCAGGAGACCCCAATTTGACTCACAAGTAGCGACAATCCCTGGGAGCTGAGCTGCTCCTGTTAAAATCCACATTGGAGCCCCCAGCTCCAGTACAGCAACAGAATGTGAGGGGACCGGTGACCCCGGGATCACGCCCAGGGTCCTCACCCTGCTTTGGTAACCAGATTTTTCCGTGGTAGGCTCTGAGAATATGAGAGAACTGTCCACCTGTGAAGGAGCCCTCTCCTGTTTGGGGCAGGAAGACCTGATTTTGGGGACCTCTTTCTGCCTGATTACTAAGATCAACCGAAGGCGCTCATGGCTTCCAACCTCTCTTCCATTTCCATAGACTCCAAGGGAGTAGTCACTGGGAGGGATATGCTCACTCCCTCAGAAAATCTTCTCCGGGGTTCTGGGCCTGACCTTGGCATTGGGGATGACATATTGCCCCCAGAGTAGGAGGGGTTCTCTCTCAGGGGCTGTTGGTGCCCTCTAAAACTGGTGGAGGGCGGGCAAGCCTCCATCTTGAAGACTCTTACCCTGTCCCCTGGGTCTTATTTTAGGGAGGCCTTTCACAGTAGACGCCGCAGGAAACACCAAAGACCTGGGCATCTGTTGCCATCTCAGCTAATGGCACTGCAGATGGGTCAGTGGTGACTACACCTGAGAGCAGGGCCTTCTGGTTTATCCATATATCTGCACCTGGGTGCAGGGTGTGACTTCCCGACAAGCTTTGCAAACAGGCTCCTGCTTTGGATACTGGTGAAGGGGTTGGGAGCCAGGGGTTGAGAGACTCTGGGGCCCAGATTCCTGTTTAATCTTCAAACAGGCAGTGAGGCAGGTGCTGTCATTATTCCCACAGAATGAGGAAACTGAGTCTCCAAGGGAGTATGGATTAACCCAAACAGCATAATCCATGCTCTCAGCATATTCTTAATCTTTTTGTTTTGTTTTTTGAACTCAGGGCACAAAGCATTGGCTGTACTGACTGAGACATATCTCCAGTCCATTTTGCCCTGGTTATTTTGGAGATGGGGGTCTTGAGAACTATTTTCCCAGGCTGGCCTCGAATCCCGATCCTCCCAATCTCAGCCTCCCAAGCAGCTAGGATTACAGGCATGAGCCACGGAAGCTGGCTGTTGTTCTTGATCTTGATGCCCCTGTAGTGAGTGTTGTCAGTCTAAGGCCAGAAAATGCTGAGTCCTAGGACTTGGGGGACACCTGTGACTTAGGCATGAGGCCCCATACAGACTCCTGCCCAAATTACTGTTTTGTTTTGCTTTTCAGATTTTGGGTTCATTTTCCCTGGCTTCATATTACAATGAAGGGGAAGAGTGGGAGGGAGTGGGCTGGATGTTTGCTTAAGCATTCCTTAGAAATTGTTGATCCATTGTGGTAGGCCCCCCTTGACAGTCAGACTAGGAGGGGATTAAGAGGTTGGACACCTGGGTGAGTGCCTCTGCTGTTAACCTCCCTAAGCTCCTTCCCCTTTTAACTCTCCTGACCCCAATGAAATAGTACCTAGAAAGTGCCTAGCATTTAATTTTGGGTAGCAGAGCACAGTATTACCAATGTTTTGCTGGATTTTCTTCTGAGTCTTGTTCTAAGAATTTTCTGCAGTCAACTAATAACACTCATAGTTCCCCTCTCCCAATAAGAGGAGGGGAAGAATTTTTAAAGCACTGTCATTTTATACCCTTCCTAAAATTGGAAAGTTTTGTTCTTGATTCCTGACTTTCTTTTTTTCTGTTTCTTTTTTTGCTGGTACTGGAGTTTGAATTCAGGCTCTCTTGCTTGCTAGGCAGGCACTCTTACTGCTTGAGCCAGTCCACCATCACTTTTTTGTGAAGGATTTTTCTGCGTTAGGATCTCACAGACTATTTCGGTGGGGCTGGCTTTGAACTGAGATCCTCCTGATCTCTGCCTCCAGAGTAGCTAGGATTACAAGCATGAGCCACTGGTGTGAGCCGAGTCTTTTCAGAGACACCCAAGACCAACGTTTGTAAAGTGTCTTTAGGAAGTCTAAATTGGTACTCTTGATTTGAATAGTACTGGTGGGAAATTTATAGTTGCCAGAATATCCACTGTTCTCTACCCTTTTCTAAAGGAGTGAGACTAGGGTGGGAGTATAGTTCAGTGGTAGGGCGGAGCTTGGCATGAGGGAGCCCTTGGTTTAATCCCCAGTGCATGCACGCACATACACACACACAGAAAGAAAAAAGACTAAGATTAAATTTAAGCATTTCACAAAAAGTTGGGAAAGTAGTGAAAACTCACCAATAGGCTGACTATCTTAATACTATTGTAGTACATTTTGTGAATTCTTACAGATTATTAAAAAGGAATCATACTCTTCTGACTTTTAAAATGTTTCTTCTGCTATGACTTTTATAACCTGCTACTCTTACTTCACATTTGCCTTCTTTTAAAATGTATCTAGTTTTGGAATGGACGTTATGTTCTCTTTTCACCGTGGGTTCGCAAGGGGCATATCGCTGAGTGACAGTGGTTGGATCCTTTGCACTTGGAATGGGAAAATTGGACATAAACTGTTACGCAGTAGTCTTCCCACTGAGAGTCGTTTGAAATTCTTTTGATGTGTGCTTTTGCAAATAGGTATGAGCATTCTCGAGGGAAAGGATGACATATTTTTGGACCTAAAACTGAAATTCTGGAATACATATAAGGTAAGATGGCCTTTTGAAAGTGAAATCAATATTTTTTTGTGTTTTTTCTTTTCTCTCTTTTTTTTTTTTTTTGTTACTGGGGTTTGAACTCAGGGCCTCATGCTTGCTAGGCAGGCGCTCTATTGCTTAAGCCACACCTCCAGCCCTTTTTTTGTGATGGGATTTTTCTAGTTAGGGTCTCACAAACTGTTTCCCTGGGGCTGTTTTTGAACCATGAGCCTTCTGATGTCTGCCTCCTGAGTAGCTAGGGTTACAGAAGTGAGCCAATGGCACCCAGCCTTTTTTGTGTATTTTTAACATTAAGTACTTTTGAGTATAACTATTCTTAAATTATGGTTTCAGGCCCAAGAGTTCAACCTTTTTTTTTGTTTGTTTGTTTGTTTTTGGTGGGACTAAGGTTTGAACTCAGGGCTTCACCCTTGCTAGGCAGGTGCTCTACTACTTGAGTCACGTCTCTAGCCGGAGTCCAACATTTTGACAAAAGGATCTTGATTTGTTTTTGTTTTTTTGCTTTGTTTTATTTTGAGATGGGGTCTCATGTTGGAGGTATAACTCAAGTGTTAGGTGCCTGCTTTGCAAGCGTGAAGCCCTGAGTTCAAACTCCATTCCCACCAAAAAAAAAAAAAAAAGTCTGCTGAGATGGGGGCCTCCCTATGTTGACCGTGCTGCCTTTGAATGCCTGGGCTGAGTGATCCTACAGACTTGGCCTCCCAAGAAGCTGGGACTACAGGCCTGTACCACTGTACTTGATTGAATTTGTTTCCATAGATAAATGGGAGGAGGCTTTAGGGGTGTCTTTACTTCTTGTGGATAGGAAAGAAATAATGTCTCTGCATTTAAGCCACTGCTTGCAATGATTTTGACTAGTAAATTTATTCTTGGGGTTGAAGTGTAGTTCAAGTTGGTAGAGCACCTGCCTAGCAAACAGGAGGCCCTGAGTTCAATCCCCAATACTGCCAGAAAAGAAAAAGTTATATTTACTCTTATTAGTGATCATAATTTATTTTGTAAGTTTCAGGACCTATTTGCAAAACAAGAATTGTAGAGTTTGAGTGGCTTAATGAAGTCATTCCCTCTTCAGAGCCAGCATTTCCATGTGTGCATTCTGCTGAGTCCTGCATAAAGAACCTTCTTAATATCACAAAGGTGTTTACAGAGAAGGATAATGTTCCCCAGGGTTGTTCCTAGGTTTGAAGAAAGTCACCTGCTCTACTGTTTGTTCAGTACTGATGTATAGAATCCAGTCCAACAAATACTTCATTTATTTAATGAAGATTTATTGTACAGTATCCTTAAGGCCTGGCAAAATCTGGGATATTTTCTATCCAGGGGTAGTTTGATTCTATGAATACCAGTCAGATAGATTTTCAGGATTCCAGAATACATGCAGATGGGCCTAGTGTTTTGCATGGACTTAATTCCCTATCAAAAGCAAAGCCACTGGCCAGGAATGTAGCCCAGTGGGACTGTCACTGTATGGGATTTGAACTCAGGACCTTGTCTCGCCAGGAAGGCCCTCTGTTACTAGAGCCATGCCCTCAGCCCTGCTGTTTGTACTCTGAACAAGGTGTGCTTAGTGTGTGTAAAACTCTGGGTTCAATTCTAGTACCTACAAAGAAAAAAAAAAAAAGCAGTGCTAAGCCACCCTGAGTGATCACTATACTGTTTCTAGTATTTTTAGCTGAACAGTACTGAAGCCCAGAACTAGCATCACCCATTTGATGGTTAGCAGTTCCCTCTGAACCCCTGTACTCAGGGTCAGTGCTTACGATGAAAGTGTTCAGAATTTTTGAACTCAGGGCCTTCACCTTTGACCCACTCCGCCAGCACCGTCCCCCTTCTTTTTTTTTTTTTTTTGTGATGGATATTTTCAAGATAGTCTCACAAACTATTTGCCTAGGCTGGCTTCAAACCACGATCCTCCTGAGTAGCTAGGATTACAGGTGTGAGCCAATTGTGCCTGGCTTTTTTTTTTTTTTTCATTTTTATCAGTGTACATTATTATTATTATTATTATTATTATTATTATTATTATTATTATTGTGGTGCCAGGGATTTGAACTCAGTGCTTCATGCTTGCTAGGCAGGTGCTTGACCACTTGAGCCAGTCTGCCAGCCCTATTTTGGGATGGGTTTTTTCTAAGTAGAGTCTCAAACTATTTGTACCAGTTGGCTTCAAACCTTGATCCTCCTGATCTCTGTCTCCAGAGAAGCTAGGATTACAGGTGTGAACTACTGGTCCCCAACTATCTTATATTAATTGTCCAGGGGGATCCATTGTGACATTTCTGGATAGCTTTACATTGAGCATTGCTTAAGTATACCCTTCCCCCCACTCTCCTTCACCCCACTCCCTGCTCCACCTAAGACAATTGCAAAAGGTTTCAATGTTCTACATCATACCTGTGTACAAAGCACATTGGTCATATTCACCCTCCCTCCTCTTCTTCACTCCCCCTCCCCCTCCCACAAGTACCCCCCAGTACCTACTTTACCATCCTGCCTTTCATTTTTAATTCCAAAGTCCGTGTTCAGAGGGGTTTCTTGATGTATCCCAGCTGTGAATATACCTTACTTTGGTCAATTCAAGTCCCTCTATTATTCTCTCTTTCCCTTCCCTCCCCCCATTATTCAACAGCTCTCAGTACCTACCGTTATGTCCTCTATGTGCACAGATGTTATGTTTTACGATATGGTTCATGCTCTCTCGTTCTATTTTCCTTTCCTTCCTCTCCCGAGTTCCACTTGGAACTCCACTATTTCTTATGTGTTCAGAACTCTTGTCACTTCTCCTGGGGTAGAAACTGTGCACTCAGAGTGACACCCAAATGTGATTTTCTACTGCTTTATTTTGAAAGAAGGAACAAAGTTCCTGTTACATTGCAGAGCCTCTGGAGATACATACATCTATCATTTTAAAAAAGAGCAAGAAGTAGAATTGGGCAAGAAGGGCTTTTTCATCAGGAGTGTGCAGGTGTTGGGAGTTTCATTTGGTGCAGGAACTTGGGGACCTTTGCGTACCTTTTTATTTTTCTGCTATGCTGGGGATTGAACCTAGGGCCTCATGTATGCTAGGCAGGTGCTGTCTCACTGACCTACACTCCTAACCCTAACTTTTAAAAATCAGTGGTCACAATGAATTAGTCTCATATATACTTATGAGATGAAAGAAGGACCTTGGGGGAGAAATGACCCAAGCCTTGTATGCACATATGAATAATAAAATTAAAAAAAAAAAAAAAAAAGAAGGACCTAGCAGTCTGAACCCCAGCTCTATTTGGGGACTTTTTCTGAAGATTCCCCATAATAAACTGTCGGCCATACAGTTTATGGAAGATACAAAACCAAAGCCATATAAAACACAGATTCTATACTTAAGGAGATTCCGTTCTAGTAGGCTAGATAGATGAATGGACAACTCATTAGCTAGAATGCTATGAAAATTGCTCTAGGGCCCCAGTGCACATGCTCACTTAGCTTGGAGGTGTGGGGGTGAGGTTCAAGGGAGACTTCTTGGGGCAGATGATACCTGAGCTGGATCTTTTCTGTTTGTTTTTTGGTGACACTGAGGTTTGAACTTGGGGACTTATGCTTGCTAGGCTGGCACTGTACCACTTGAATAACACCTCCAGACCTCTGAACTGAGCTTTAAAGAATAGTTGGAGAGGAACACATCTATAATCCCAGCCACTTGGGAGGAAAGATAGGAGGACCGTGATCCAAGGTCATATGGGCAAAAGTGCAAGCCCCTCAAAAACAAACTATAAAAGTAAAAGGACTGGGGGTGTGGCCCAAGTGGTAGAGTTCTTGTCTAGCAGATATGAGACCCTGATTCAATCCCCAGTACCAACAGAAAAAAAAAAAAAGGCTGGAGTTAGTCAAATATTTTCAGGCAGAAAATCCCAGGGGCAGAAGGAGCTGGATAGAGTCAATAATGCACACATAAAACGCTGCCTGTGGGCACTGAGCAGCTGGGAAGAACTGGGAATGTGCTTGGATCTTAGGTGGTGTTGGACTCTATGCCAAGGATTTTGAACTTCACCTTTAGGTAAGAGTGGCGAGGGAAAGTAGTCAGCAGTTACTGTAACCAAGTTCACCTAAGAAAAAAGGAGGCAATGGGCACAGGAATGACTTGAGAAGTATTTAGGCGGTAGAATTGGTACCATGATGATCGATTGGAAAATGGGGGTGTAGGACCCAGGACACAGGATAGCCTACAGATTTCTTGCTTGAGCAACTGTAGAGTGGTATGAGATAGAACATAGAGGAAAGGGAGCCACTTAGGCAAAACCAGAACCAAAAACAAGATGAGTTCAGTTTGGGAAATGTTGCATTTCAGATACCTTAGATTATTCTCAGGGAGATTTCAAGGTCACAGGGGACAGTTCAGAGCCAGAGGTATTAGAATGGGAGAAATGGGTTCAAACTGGGCTCTCCATTCAAGCTTGATCAGTGAAACTAAGAACACAAATGTTTGGAGTCAGAAGAAAACAAGCCTTCAAAAGAATCTGCCACTATCTTGTCACTCAAGTAGTATCTGAGAGTACTGATTGGTTGTTGTACAGGAACCAAACCTTTGCCCTGTTCTTTCTTTTGGTGGGAAGGATGGGCCTGGTTTATTTGTTGTTTCCATGTGAGTGGCACTTAAGGGTTTTTTTGTGTTTGGTTTTTGTTATTTTCTGCACAGATGGCATGCAATTTCTGTCTCACCAGCTGCAATATGGAGGCTCAAATGTATTATCTCCTAGAAATGTATCTGATATTGTTCTCTTTTATAGTTTAAAAATATTTGGATGACCCAAACATTGTATGCACATATGAATAAAATAAAAATTAAAAGAAATAAAGGACCTTGAAGTAACCATGAAAAAAATTTGGAAATATTTTAAATTTAGCAAAAGTAATAAGAATAGTCTAAAGAACATTCATATACCCTTTATGCAAATTCACCCACTGTTAACATTTTGCCCCATTTGCTTTATTATTTGCTTGCTGCATACCTCTGTCCATTTGTTCATCCATGCATCCATGCATTCATTCACCCATCCATTCATTTGTTCATCCATGCATCCATCCTTCCATTCATCCATCCATCCACCCACCCCTTCATCCATGCATGCATGCATCCATTCATCCATCTATGTGCTTCTGAATCATTTGAGAGTAAGCTCTGCACATAATTGTCTGCACATAATAGAATACTTAAATATTTTTCTAAAAATAAGAATGTTGTGTTATATAACCACAGTTCCATTGGTTATATAGCTATCAATTTCAACAATGACAACACTTCACTGTACCATCCATATCCCATTTTTCCAACTGACCACGTAATGGCCCTTCTGTCATTCCTTTTCCCTCTAACTAAGATCCAGTCTAAAGCTGGTGCTCATACCATCTTAGCTACTTGAGAAGCTGAGATTGGGAGAATTAAGGTTCAATACCAGCCTGGACAAATAGTTTGTGAGACTTCACCCCCCCATCTCCAAAATAACCAGAGCAAAATGGACTGGAGGTGTGGCTCAAACGTTAGGGCACCTGCTTTGTAAGCGCCAAGTCCTAGTTCAAAGCCCAGTCTCACCAAAAAAAAAAAAAAAATCCAATGTTATTTCTCTTTAGTCCCCATTAATCAGGAACACTTCCTCAGCCCTTTTTAAAAATTTATTATGACACTGACATTTTTGAAGAATAAGTGCTGCCCCCCCCTTTTTTAAAAAAAGAACATTTTTATTTTGAGAGGTTTGTGTGTTTCCTCCTGATTAGATTCAGGTTATACATTCCTGTCTGGAACAACATTCCATGGGGGGTCGTGTGTCCTCCACTCATTACATCAGAGGTCATACATACGATGCCCATTTGTCACTGGTCAGAAATACTCATTTTGGTCACCTAGTCAAGTTGTCTGATCTTTCCATATATAGTTCCCTTTTTTCCCTCCTTGAAATTAATCTGTAATCTGTAGGAGGGCGCTTTAAGACCATTCAAGTAAATATCCTCTTCCCCATCTGTGTGTGCGTGTGCATGTGTGTGCGTGTGCATGTGTGTGCATGTGTGATGCTGGGCCCACAGGGCCTTGCTCGTGCTAGCCGAGTGCTCTACTATACTGAGCTACCTCCCCAGCCTCCACGTCCGTTTCTGATTCTGCCTGAACCACTCTGGGTTACTGAGGTGGTTGCCATGGGGTGAGCTCCCACCTCCAGCGCTGGTTCCCACTTACCAAGTGGCAGCCTGCATCCCGCTGTGAGCAAGAGCCAGCTCTTCCCTCCCAGGTATTTGTCTTTGTTCCCAGTGTGGACTTCGAGACTCCCATTTTTCGGTGTTTATGATCCCTTACATGTTTAATTATTTTGGGTGCTCAAGTGTCACAGATTAGGCCCTTCAAGCTGGTTTCCATGTCCTTGCAACATCCCCCATCTTTTCTTTCAAAACCACCTCCTTACTTTGTGGTATAACAAGGTGTTCCAGGCTCATCTCATACCTGGCACCTTGTTCTCGCCCTGGCTGGCCTTGGATTCAGCCATTTCTTTGAGGGGTCCCGATCCCTGCTTTGGGGAAGGGCTAAGACACCACAAGCCGAGCTCTGGGTGATACCCCATTCTGATAAACAAAACGGTGACCAAGGAAATAGAGTCGTATTTAGATGGGCTTAGTCTTCTGATTATTTTTTGCTAAAGTATTAAATTCCTAAATGAACATATACTTGTGTAAATATAAAATATGTACTAATATGTAATATTTATTTTTAAATGTAGAAATATAATTATACCAATAAAATAATTATAAAATTTTATTGAAATTTTATTTTAGAAACTTCAGAAAATAAAAACTTAGTAAAAAGAAAATAAATGTACAACACCACTTTTAAGGGCTGTTTATTTTTGGAGATATAATTTACATACCTATACCTCTGTCTTCTTGAAAAATCCATAATGGTGACTTTTTTTTTTTAATGTCAGGGATAAAGTCCATGAAGCTGACGTAATTCACAAAAATGTCAGCTGAACTTGTTCTATAGCAAGACATAGTTTGAATATGTTATTCGCAAACCATTCCAGGAATGGTTTGGTAGATTGTTTATTTGTTTTTTGGTGATACTGGGGATTGAACTCAGGGCCTCAAACCTGTTAGGCATGTGCTCTCCTACTTGAGTCACATCTGTAGCCCTCAGCAGATAGGTTTAAGAACTCACTGATGATCCTGTATTTGTAAGCAAGTATGTGTGCTTGTGCCCACTGGGAAATGAGAATGTAGCAATTCCTGTACTTATTTCAAAGAACCACTTTCTTCCAGAATTGCTACTAATGCTAGTTGACTTGGTTCCACACTTAGGACTAACAAAAATGTCTGAACCCTTTCCCACGACTTTCCACCCCCCTCTATACTAGAGGACTACTTAAGTAGTCCTAATTTAATCGGCTTAGTCTGAAATTTTACAGCACCTGGCAGCTTATCTTTTATACAATGGACTGTGTGCTTGTTTTGTGTGATTAAAATGCATGCTAATAAGGTTTTTCTTTCATTCCAGAGTGGTCTGATGTATTGGCCTTTCGTACAGGTAAGTTTCAAACCCCTTAGAGTCTGGGTCTGGGGATATGGCTTAGTGGTAGAGCCACCTGCCCAGCAGGTGTGAGGCCCTGGGTTCTATCTCAGCACCATAAAAACAAAAACACACCTCAGCAACCATCCAACCAACCAGTCAGCCAGTCAACCAACCAGTTAACCAGGCAACCTGTCAACCAACCAACTAGTCATAATGCTAGCTCATGGCTTTTACTTCTGTGGAGCCCTAACAGATGCTCTCTGTGTTCCAGCTCACCAACTTCAGCCTTGTCCCTATCCACTGGCGGACAGCTTACACTGGACTCTGTGGTTTCCTCTGGGCCACCTTCCTCTGCTTTTCCCAACAAGTGGTGATGGCACGTTGACGTCAGTGTTCACCTTTCTTCGGACAAAGGAGGCCAAGGCAGTTGAAAGGCCTCCAGAGAAGTGAGAGGTCAAGGACTCCCGCATGTGACTAGCTTTGTTACTTCATGCACTGGTTTGGCAGCAGAGAAAGGACTTGATATACCAGTTATTCATCCACTTTGAAGAATTATCATTCCATAGACACTTGTTTTTTGATCATCAATGATAATTTTAAATTTTACCTAAAACCTTCCCCCATTCTAGTCTGAAAGACTTCTCTAATATTTGGTTCAAAATCAACAACAGTGTCAAATTGGCATTTTAGAGTTATATGGTTTTTTTTTTTTTTTTTTTAGCATTACTAATACTTGTATTTGAATATTTTGTGTGTGTATGTGGAACTGGGGTTTGAACTCAGGGCTTTGGGCTTGCAAAGCAGGGGCTCTACTGCTTGAGCCACACCTCCAGTCCATTTTGCTCTGGTTATTTTGGAAATGGGGTCTCCCAAACTATTTTCCCTGGCTGGCTTCAAACCGAAATCTCCCCAGTCTCAGCCTCCCACGTAGCTAGGATTACAGGCGTGAGCCACCAGCGCCTGGCTCTATTTGAGTATTTTAGGGCCAGTTGAATTCAGGAACCCTGGTTTTGATTTTTAACATCTGTATTCTAAAATCTCAGGTTATTTGCTGTACACTTTTGAATCAGATTGCCTTTTACACCAAAAATAGTCCTTACAGTAAATTTCTATTTGCTTAGAGTTCAATTGAGGAGAAGGCTTGAATAATCAGATTTTTTTCCACAAAATAGTCTATAATGTGTTATTATGCCGATACTAAAATTCCGTAAGTACATTCTTATCAAAAAAGGAATAGTGTATGATTGATGTGTTTTTTATAAAATATTTTATTCATGTCTTTTGCTTTGATATAGTAATTTTCTTTTTTTTTTTTGTAATTTTCTAAGCATGGTAATTTTTAATTAATGTTTTCTAGTTTTGAGCATTCGTATTTGACTATGGAACCCCATTTCCTAGACATATGAAATTAAACACTTGGCTTCCAAATGAACTACAATGAATGAAAGTTCTAAAAAAAAAATAAATTTTCTTCTGTAAGAAAGAACTGTCGAACCAATGAAGTGGCTCAAGTAGTAGAGCTCCTGCCTAGCAAGTGTGAGGGCCTGAGTTCAAACCCCAGTGCCACGAAAAAAAAACAAAAAAAAAACTCTTACTATACAGTACCCAGGGAAAATAGTTACCCCAGATTTCATAGTGATGCTATATTTTCTTCCTTCCTTCCTGTTTTTTTTTTTTTTGGTGGTGCTGGGGATTGACCAAAGTCTTTACCATTGAACTACGGACATATTTTTATATCTCCAACCCACTGTATTTTAAAAATTCAATACTTTAAAGTGTATCTTTGGGGCTGGCAGAGTGGCTCAAGCAGTCAGAGTGCCTGCCTAGCAAGTGTGAGGCCCTGAGTTCAAATCTGAGTGCTGCCAAAAATAAATAAAATCTTTACACTGGAAGGTAGATATGAAAAACTTGACGTAGTCTTTCAGATTTAGTCAGTTTGTCTCACCTCAACACCGCAGGTTTAAAAGTTATGTGATTAGCCAGTGTTGTGGCATGTATCTATAGTCCCAGCTACTCAGGAGCAGAAGGCTGACGCAGGGGATCACTTGAGTCTACAGTTTGAGATCAGGCTTGGCAAAATAGCAAGACCTGTCTCTAAACACACAAACAAATACTATGTAAATATCTCAAGAAGTTTTAGTCAGTTTCACACAAGGATTAATTACTCTACAGTTCTGTTGCTGTCAGGGGCATAGTTCACAAATTTCCAGGTGTGAAGCACTGAACTCTTAATTTATCTTGAGAATGTATATTCAGGATCTATTTAAGAATATATAATAGGTGAGTGGAGTGGCTCAAGTGGTGAGAGCACCTGTCTAGCAAGTGTGAAGCCCTGAGTTCAAACCCCAATGCTGAAAAAAAAAAAAAAAAAAGAATATATACTTAAATTTTTGAGCATGTAATTTATATGGTTTGTAATATGTTCTTATAAGTCATAAGCATGTAACTTCTTAGTATATAATTTATTTGAATATAGCAGATATTAATATATTTTCCATTGAGACAATAGTGAGGACATTTCTTGATGGTTGAATTTTAAAACAATTTGTTTATTTGCATTAGTTTGAAAATAGTTAATACAATACAGAAAAGCTGTTTCATAAGACATCAGATAAATTTTATCATCAAAGAAGTATAGCTAGGACTGGAGGCTTGGCTGGAGTGGTAGAGTGCATACCTAGCAGGTGCAAGACCTGACTCCATGCCTCGGTACTGCAAAAACAACAAAAAGCAGATCCAGGGGAGTTGTACTAAGTACTACCAGGCAAAGTTTTTGTTCTCTTTTCACTTGCATTCTCAGAGACATGCCCTTCAATAACTGAAAAATGACTTCTCCATTTCAGCGGGGAGCTTTCCTTCTATAGAAATGGTTGTGACCGAGATGAGAAGAGGTTTGGGGAGAGTGCAAAGAGACAGCAAGAGCATTTAAGGTCTGTGGGTGCAGCTCAGTGGCAAGGGCTTGCCTGGGGTTGAAAAATGTACACGTTTCTGCCCAGCTTACTTGAAATTAAAAATCGTGCAGAATTTGCACCTTATCATTTCCATTTGTAGAAAAATTAGGAAACATTCTCTTATTTGCGTCTAGTTGGTGTGATAAGAGAATAAGGTAGTTTGAGAGTTGGTGTATTTTTAAATTTTTTTAAGAATCAAGTTTGAGAGCATTTTCGTAATTCTACATTTTTTTCTCACCATCTGTGTAGTAGAGTGACTTAATGGATAAAGTAATTGCTGATCTGTCTGCAATACAGTAAGTGAAATTTGGAGTTAGGGATTCATACAGATGAAGAATGCTTTGGGGAAATTTAATTACTGCCTGATTTGTGTTGGTGGTTGTTGGGCCAGAATAAGAAACTAATGAACGAAGTTATGCAGATTCTAAAAGTTATGGTTCCAAGAGGAAAGCATTGTGTTCTAACGCTACATTAATAATTGTAATTTTTGTTTTTAATGATTCGAGGGCATTTTTGTTTTATTTCCTTCATATTAAAACCTATAGATAAGGGCTGGTGGAGTGGCTCAAGTGGTAGAGCGCCTGCCTAATGACCATGAGGCTCTGAGTTCAAACCCCAGTAATCACAGAAAAATAAATAAATAAAAATAAAACCCACAGATAAAATTAACTCTGGCATTTTGGGCTGTATGTAAATAGAGCCTTCACCTCATCTCTGTTGGCTACAGTTTCTAATAGATAGCTAATATATCTCACAGATACAGTTTCTAACTTGTACATCATTGCTGTGTACTTTATTTGATTACTGTCTTACTTCCAAAGACCATCGTCAGGATTCATTAGTAACTATCAAAAGCTTTTCTTTGCTATATGGGCAACTTGCTTTTGGTTTTTATGTGCATTTCTATAGCGTTTGCCAAAACAAATTATGTCAAGAAGACACTTAACAGTGTGTCCTGGAGGCAGCTTTCATTTGAAATTAAGTTCATCTTCTGAGAGTATTAAAAAGTTAATGGATTTCTGTGCCTGAAGATTTTGACCTCACATTGGCTGCATTTAATCCAGTTTTACTCATAAGTCTTAGAGTCTAAATGAACTAAATTGCTGAAAATATGACTAAAAATGCTAAAAGCTTTTTTTTTTTTAATACTGTCAGCAGCTCAAACATGGAAAGGGAAAACTGGAGATAAAGATAAAGGACACATGAAGAAGAGCTGTGTGTGGTGGTGCACGCCTATAATCCCAGCTACTCGGGAGTCAGGGATAGGAGGAATGTTGTTCACAGCCAGCCCAGGCAAAAACTGAGTGAGACCCATCTCAACAAGTGGAGTGGAGCGTGATGGTGCGTGCCTGTGGTCCCAGCTAGTCCACTGGTGCAGGGAGAAGGACTGTAGTCTAAGGCTGGCCCAGGCAAAAAAGCAGGAAAACTGACTGGGTGGGTGTCATCCTAGCTATTCAGGAAGCTGAGATTGGATGGATCATGGTTCCAAGCCAAATGGGCCAAAGTTCACAACACCCCATCTCAACAGAAAAGGCAGAGAGTGGGAGCATGTACCTGTTATCCCACTCACCCAGGAAGCATAAACAGGAGAGTCACAGTTCAGGACAGCCAGGCAAAAATTGAGACCTTATCCCAAAATAACCAGGGCAGAAAGGGCTGGAGGCCTGGCAGTGGAGCACCTGCCTGGCAAGTGCGAGGCCCTGAGTTCAAACCCCAGTACCACCAAAACCAAAACGGACAAACAAAAACCTCACGTACATGAAAGATGTAGCCCTAACTAGCCAAGTGAGCGGAAGAGAGCGATTAATACCTGAGCAACATTTGTGGTGTATGGCCAGTAAAGGCATGTCTTTTTCTAATTCTTTTTTGTAAGTTTTCCTTTAACTCATCTTTTGTTTATTTTGGAGGTTCTGGGGCTTGAACTCAGCCCCACACTTGCTAGGCAGGCACTCTACTGCTTGAGTCACTCTGCTAGCCCTTTTTTTATGTTGGGTATTTTTGAGATAATAGGTTCTTACAAACTATTTGCCCAGGGCTGGCTTTGAACTGCGATCCTCCCAATCTCAGCCTCCTGAGTATCTAGGACTGCAGGCGTGAGTCACTACACCAGCGCTCACTCAGCTATAGCTACATCTTTATTCATCTGTCTCTTCCTTCCTCTTTTCTGTCAACTCCCAGCAAAAACTTTCCTCTGCCCATCCACTCACTGCCTATACCTGGACCACCCATACTGCAGGAGGCAGAAGAATGGTGATGAGGTTTGGGATCAGAATACCTAATTGACACAAAGGCCATGCTTTAGAGAAGATGGTCCCCTTTTCTCTTTCTTTCCTTTGGGTGTCCTTCCCTTCATTCTCGCTGGCTATAGTGGCATAACTTCCAAAGTAGTTCTCTCTCTCTCGCTCTCTTTTTTTCGGTGGTACTGAGGTTTGAACTCAGGGTTTTGCACTTGCTAGGCAGGAGCTCTAGCTTGAGCCACTCCACCAACCTCCAAGTTAG